AACTAAATAATCACAATTCAAAGGCCACTAAAGACCACTAAAGACCACTCGGCTCCACTTCACTCTTTTCTTCAGGGCTGTGAAACCGAGAAACTCAGCCAGGTCGTCGCTCATAACTTAACCGGACTTGTGTCCTTGTCCCAGTTTACATGCCCTGGGCAGTAATCTTATTATTGACACAAGCATGTCTGCCTCCACTAGGATAGGTGGTGAATCCCCCTTTATAGTTTGTTACTATGGGGTCCTCGTCGATTTGACATGTTCTGCATCAAAACAGATGGCAAAACATGTTAGCAAGAGGCTAATGGGATGTCACTTTTAAAGCTCTGTGCGGTTTGATGGGAAAGTTTTCACTTTTTTGCGTCCATCCTCCGTCTGTTGAGGTTTATTTTACCTGGCTCTCTAGCAGCACATCCACATAATCCACCAGCTGAGAGTCTGGTGTGAAGAATGCTTGTGCAGAAAGCTTGGGCCAGTTTCAGCTCAACTGACTGGGGAAAAACAACAACAACATCAAGTTTTGGCCCATAAGACAAAGTTTGGAAATAACAGGACCCTGATGACATGACAGCTGTGATGACAGTGCAGTCGCAGCCAGATCTACTTCATAAAGAATTCAATGCTTAATGACAACATGTGGTTTCATCTGAAAGTGGCTAAGCACAGGATTGTGAAGAGCATTTCTCTGTAAGTGCCTCTTCCTCTGAAGTAAACATCCTTCTCCTGGTGTTCAGAAAGTCATTTTAAAACAAAATTCAGGCAGGAAATTGTCTCTGAAAGCCTCAACTTGCTTCACAGTTAAGTGATGGTTGAGTCACTGTTATTGATCAAAAACCCTGTCCACTTCCTGTGGATACATTATTGCCTTTTTGTTCTCAGTGGAGATAAAACTTCCTTTTAAATGCCCTACACCCACGCAGTCCACCTACACAGGTGCTTCACTTATTCTGCCTGATTACAGGTGTTTTCAGGGGCTGTGAGTATGTTCAGACTACCTGGAACTCATAAATCCCTCACACTTTACCAGAGATGTGGCAACTGCAGAGCGATGGTATTTCTTTTAATATTGATTCACGCTGTTTGGTTACCTTGCCTGAGCTTGTGCAGAGCTCCATCTGCCTACAACATGAGTGCAGCTTTAACCATTGAAATAGAGTGTCTGAAAGAGCCTGAAATGTAGGAGCCAACTACCAACATTCCTGTCACATATGACTTTAATACAACAAGACAGTTTGGAATTAAAGATCATATAAAGTTTGATTTTTCCTCATCAAGGCTCACTGTACTGAATTTAACATGGTGGCACTATAAAATCAGTAGAATGAAACCAAGTTGCCTGTAAATGTTAAGAAAAAAAGACTCTAGAAAGTGCATGGTGTGAGGTTTCCGGGCTCGACAGACAGGCAGACTCAGAAAGTACTTGAAGCAGAAATCACAGTATCACAGTGGCCAAACTTTAAGAAAATAGACAATATTCAGTGTGTCATTGTGCTGAACAGGAAGTTGCAGTCATCCGGTAACTTATCTCAGTCTTCCTTTGGTCAATAAAGCATTAGCTGACAGATTCAGGATTTTTGGAGTTGTTCGTTCAGCTCTTTAGAAAGGCTGCAGCAGATAGTTTTTGTGTTCCCTTTTTTTTCCTTCCTGATTGTGAATGCAGCCTCCAACCAAGAAGGAAGAGGAGCCTCTTGCAGAGAAGCTGCAGGATGTTAAGCAGATCCTGCTGCTATTCAACCAGAGACCATCCACTCCATCATCACCTCAGCCTAACCTGCCACCCATCCCATCTTACATCTTGTTCTGGGATGAGAAATAAAAAAGCTGCACATGAATTTCATGAGCATAAATTCCACTTGAGATCCTGAAAAATACTGGGTGTAGACACAGTCTGCGCATTGTCTGTTACTATCTGCAAACTTTCCAACAAATAAATGAGGCTTAATGACCCCAATATTTAAAGTGGTGTGAAAAAAAAAGTGTTTGCCCCTGTCCTGGTTTCTTATCTTTTGCATGTCTGTCACACTTATATGTTTCAGATCATCAAATAAATTTAAATATTAGTCAAAGACAACACAACTGAACACAAAATACAGTTTTTAAATTAAGGTTTTTATTATTAAGGGAGGAAAAAATTCCAAACCTACATGACCCTGTGTGAAAAAGTGATAGCTTATTATTGCAGTCCGTGTTGTTTATGTATGAGAACAGATGATGGTTGAAGTGCAGCTTTAGGTTTGCTACCCAAAAAACAAAGAAAGAAAAAAGGATGTCAGATGGATGGGAGATGATTGAGCAGGATTACAGTGTTTGTAGATGTTGAATATATAGAACTTTGTTTGCAACACATAGTATTATTGCTCTGTAGGCTCGAGGCAAAATGTCTGACACAATCACATTTCACAGAGTTTTGCTGTGATTTAAGTGTCAATTATGAGTAACAGCAAACTAAAAGGGTGATGAAAAAGGGATGTTAATGTTGTGACATAAGGAAACCACCTGTCACTTTACCATTATGTTATTTCTTTGTGTCATTTAAGTAAACTATTGTTTATGTCTCTTGTGACACTTCCTGCCTGTGTGAGTGCACACCAGCTTTGATCATTTTGTGATTTTACTATGAAGCCAAAGACAGTTTTCCAAGTTCAATCATTCATTTAACCATTTATTTTCCTTAAAATTAAAATTGAGACTATTTTGCAATATCCAGCTGTCAGATCCTACATTGAAACAATCCCTTGCTCACTCCTGAAGTCTGAGAAGTAACAGTGGCCCTCAGGGACAAAAAGCTTCTGTGATGCTTGGTTTGTATTATCCTCAGTCGCTCTCACTTTCTCTGGCCAATAAGTACAAAAACATTTTAAGTGGGGTTTTTTGGGGGGTTTTGGAGACCAACAGAATGAATGCTGATACAAGCATCAAATGGAGGCTTTTCTTTTCTTAAGATTTTTATATCAGTGTCACTTTTTTTAAATTATGAAACCATTCACCGCCCTCAAACACTGAAGACCTCAGTGGCAAGACTTGTGTGCAGATACTAACAGCTGTTAAAGCTGCCTAACAGCTGATCCAGTGAAGATCAGCTGATGCTGTCATCTCAAATAGACATCCCCACAGGGAAGGAAGGCTCATGTCTCTTACAACATATTTTCCTCTCTTGCTTTATTTCTTTCTTTCTCTTCAGTCATTTCTGATGGAAGGGAATACAACCGAAGGGTAGGACACCAGTGATGGATACAAGAGAAATGGAGGTGCACACTATTTTTACCACTGTCCATAAAAAAACTACAAAGGAGACAAAAAGTTATATTTTCAACAGGGTCTGATATATTTTACTGAAATCATTTAAAGAAAATGTTATGAATAATAAAAACAGACCTTGATGATTTGCAAACCCTTCTTATCCTATATTTGACTGAAGTAGAGCGAAGACAGCTTATCAAATGTTGAAAGAGGATTTTCTTTTCTTTAATAAAAAATGTATGCTCATTTGAAATTTTATATCAGCAGTACATTTGAAAAAAAGTTGAGACAGGGACAAAAAAACACTGAACAAGTTATGTAATGTGTCATCTTCAAGAACATCTCCCAGCTATGAGGTTAATTTGCATGAGGTTAGCATCACAACTCAGTATAACAGAATATTTCAGAGAGACTTGACTTGTGATACACACACACACACACACACACACACACACACATATGTATATGTACTTCTTAGACCCTTCAGTAATAGTCACCCCCCCCCAAAAAAAAAAAAAAAATAAAATAAAATAAAATAAATAAATTAATTAATTAATTAAATAAATCTAAAAAATAGATAATGCAGCTGCAGCTCCAGGTTAAACATGCACCTGCATTCATCTGACCAATCCTTTTGAACCATGTTGCTGGCATCAAATTTAAATATTTTAGTAAAACATGATTTCTTTTTCAGTTTCAACACTTCATACACTCTCTCAAGTCTATTTTCAATAAAATACAGGGCCTGAAACACATCAAATTCTGTTTGTATTTATATTTCACTTGGTAACCCTACTTCTTTTGGAACTGAGGTTGTGTAGAAGCCCGACAGACAATTATGAAATGCAAATAACTGTAGAAATAATCTTTGGGGTTGTTCTGATGTTACTTCAGGTATGTCAGACTCCAAAGTGACTTTAATCACAGAGATAAATTCATTTTTTTATTTCACCATGAAACAAAAGTTAAGCCCTCAAGAAGTAAAAAGCTAAAGCATGCCAAGGATACCACTACAAGTCTTCAGAACATGTGCAGGAGTGCATCTGCTCATGGATACAAGGAATAACTTGACTTAATGGACTTGTCTCTGTGTCTGTGTCTATATTTAATATTTCCACAGGCAGAAATTTAGTTTGGAGAGTCTACAGGCTACATTAACTCTGACTGCTCCAAACACTTCATTTGTATCCCCCTGCATCCATAATTCACTCATATTTTTTCCTACAGACTGTTCTCGTGTTGCCTTGGGCACTAATATCTCCTCACAGGTGTAGGTCTGCGTGCAAACTCAAAAGTAAGCCCTCACAGACGCTCATGCCCCGGCTCTAACCTCATTTCTGAAATGTACGAATGTCCTTGTTTAACTTTTTTTGCCATTTCCTCTGTTAGGTTTCCTAGCAGACATTGTTTCTCATCAAACACAGATGGATGTGTGATGAACGAGGAAACTGCTTATACCTCCCTTTGCTGCCGTATCATTTGAGATTTTCTGGGTACTGCCCAAACAAAATAATCCCGTCCCGAGGGTCCTTATTACTGACTGTGTTTCACACAGAGCATGGATTATTTATATAATGGAATTTTCTGAAATTATCCAAGACCTTTATCATATTTCATGGAGAGAAATGAGGGGAACAGAAATCAGGTAAAAGAAAGTTTGAGGTTCATTAAAAACTAGAGGCTTACTGGATATTACACATTTTTTTTAATGTCTTATAAGGTCGGGATCACTGATGCGCATAAAATGTAAGCCATCGGAAAAGCAATGAGATCCAAAACTGAGCTGAAATGTGTTTATTTTGCAGCATGTAGTTGATTTAGACTGGTTTCTGGACTCTATTTCTGCACAGTAATATCAGGGTTTAGTAAAACAATCCATTTATATTGTATCCAAGACAAACTTTACCTGCATTAGAGTTTAAACAAAAGGTGGAACCACCAGTTGGCATTGGGTATCCAACTGGACTATCCTTGTTCAACCTTCCAATTCAGAGAGTAGCCTAAATTCAATTCATCTTGGCCATTAGCAAACAAGTCAACCAGGGTGCCATCTGGCTTCCTGCTGACAACTAGCTACAAATTTCGATCGTTCAACTCCCAGGGAGGGGGATGAATCACTGGTAACATCAGCTGAGCAGATGCCATTAGGAAGCAAGCTGGCCAAAAATTGTGTGCTGTTAAAACAGCAGCAACAAGCTGCAGCTGGAGTCGACCAAATTGTGCAAAAGCAACAAATACTAGAATGTGTTGCATGGAGAAAGTTGTATTCAACTGGTGGTGTGATGGAAAAAACAAACAAACACAGTCATGGCTGGGCAGGAAGTAATTAAGCTCATTATTCCAGTTGTCTTGAATTATTCCAGGCTTCCTCATCCCATCTTAATGTCCTCCTCCCTTCAGGTTAGGTGCACTGTGGAACAATCACAAAAACGCTGTCATGGACTCAGCTTATTTTTAACCAGTCTAGACTGGTGCACCTGGAATAACAGAGTTATTAAGATCCACAAACAACAAAGTAATAGTAGTCTAATTTGTATTAATTGTACAAGATGATTCCTGAGATCGATGTTGTCAATAAGGCTTTAGTGCCTGGGAACAGTCAAATACATCCCATAGAGAACACTGACTCACCAAGCCGAAGTGAACTATGTCATAAATAAGAAAAAAAGATGAAACAACCAGCCATGGGATCAATGATGCTAAACAGCATGGCACAAAAGGCAGCCAGTCACAAATTTAAAAGAAATGGAGTCTGCTTGGTCCAGCATTAACAGAGCAAGAGAGCTGCTGAATGGGATACTCCAGCACAAATATAGATTATGGTCAAACACCATAACACCAAATTTGACACCCCCTTAAGAGATGAACGTTGCCGACTGCTTGCCTCTCTAGTTCCACCAACTTCAGCAAAGACCGCACAATAGCAATACACAGCAGTCTATGTCTCCACATGCAAACCTCAACCAAAACACCACTATATAGCCACAAATAAGAACAGCACCTAACTTCATCAACAGGATATATAGGGTCCCAGCCACAGTAGTCATCACACATCTTTTTAGTTTTGCCCGATTTCTTTAGCAAAGAGACCAAACACAACTCACCCACTCTCCTCCAGCAGCCGCTTGTTTGTGGGGGAGCCCTGACGAGTCAATCACCGAGTGCAGAAGTGTTACACAGCTCAAGGAAGAACATTTATGATAATTACTTAATGGAATTGCAATCAGAGTTCTTGTGTATGTCACCCAGGTGAAAATTCAGTTCCTTCTTCTTCTTCTTCTTCTTCTGTGCGGTTTAATGGCAGCTTGCATCCAATAGTTGCATTGCTGCCTTCTGCTGGTTCTTCACAGCACTACATAATTATATCCTTTGAATCAGTCCTGTGGTGGTTAATTCAGCTCGTGCTCGTGCTTGTTTATCATATTCAGTTCCTGCTTCTCTTTTCGCGGTATTCTTGGATCCCGTTCTCGCGAGATTTTGATGCTGTTCGAGATCGATACCTGGCCCACTGGGCCAATCAGAACGAGGTACGCGATGACGTCATGCCGGCTTGTGACGCAGCGGCGCCAATCACGTTTGTTTATCATACCGCGGCAATTCAGTGTGAGAGGAAGCAGTGGGGAAGCAGGAGACAGATGAGCAACAGGTCGGTTTTTATCTATTTTCGCTGGTTCTTCACTAAAACAAACGGACAACCTTATGTAACAAACTTTATTGAATTCATAGGAACCCGCTACTTGACTGTGGTGATTTGAGGAGGGCTGTAGATGTGAAGATTGAACTGTGAACTGGTGAGCAGAATTGTTTGTCTTGATAGCTTAGCCACCTCCATTCAGATGAATGGATGGTGTTAGCTGGATGAACTGTCTGTGGCCAAGTGCCCATTACTTATTTGGTCATTGCGTTGTTTGACTAACTGGTTGAACTGATTTACATTGTCTGACTTCACTGATTTATTGCACTGTACTTCTATTATCATTTCCATGTTATGTATGTCCTTGTATGTCACTGTAGATAATTGCACTGTGGTTATTAGTCATCTGCTTGCTTTAACATATGGTGCCATTTCAAAAGCAACACTCAGTCTCGTGTCCACTCCTTCCCTGAGCGTTCTCTATTTTTTCTGGTCAAAAGCCCAATATTATACATCAAACCATATTTACATCCACTAAATTGTGTCAGCACAAGTGCTACATGTATCTTGCATAACTGTTATTATCAAGTGCTGGCAGGGAAATGAGCACAAATGAGCATTTTTAACTTCATGTATTTGCAGGGGAAAAATCTCATAAACAAACGTGAGCTTTAACGTCATGTCGCATTTGTTTATTTCAGGAAGAGTGAGCAGACCGCACAAGGTGAAGAGAAAGCAGTCACAACCGAACACCTGAGGCAAATAAGGACACAATGGTAAATTTATGTAATTATCCAAGTTAAGAAAGAAGCAAAAGAAGTGTAACTTGGACTCATTTTATAGATTGCTGCTTAGATATGGATGAATATCTGGTTATAGTGAACCAGTGGCTTGTTGTATTGAACATAGATGTCAACACACTGTCATAAAAATGTCCATGGAGACATGATAAAAATGCAATTTCATCCAGTCATCATCCCAATATTACATTTCCAATGGTATGAATGTTGATATAGGACACAGAAAAAGGTCAGATCCTGACATTTGAGAAGTTAGAAACAGGATGTATCGAGCATGTTTGTGCTGTAAAATAAATGACCCAATAATCAATAATCAGATTGTTGTTTACTGTTCTTTGAAATGGCACACCGATCAATCAACATTCCTCCAGCTGTTGTTGTTGTTGTTAGCTTGTCTGTTGAAGGCCACCACTGACAGAATAAAAACCTCGTTCTGTCAGATTCACGTCGTTTCTTCCCCAGGGTTTGCACATATGTTATTTAAGCTTTACTCAAAGCTTGTATTTGTTGTTCACCACCTCAGGGCGCAATGACAGATAGCAACATGAAAGCCATCAGAGGATATCATGTCTGATCACAACACAGAGACACAGGACATTAATCACAACCCACCAATAAACAGCACACACACACACACACACAGGAGTACACACGCATGCAGATGAAAACATAAAGCACTGTGAATGAAACCTGAGACAACCGATCAGACCTGTCTCCTTTCATCCACCATACTTAAAGAGAAGTATGATAACTGTGTTACAAAAACATTATGTACTTAACTCTGATTGCAAAGCTTGTTGTAATTTCATTAAATTGAGTAAAAGTAAAGGAGTCCAGTGCTGGGACTGCACCAAATTCACAAATTTCTCTTAGAGGCAGTGTTTAAATCCTCCTGGACATACTGTAGCTCCAGGGGCTATTGTATCAGTACAAGTATTTCATTTAAAATGATTTACTGTATTGACCTTCCTGCCTGTGCGTTGTAACTGAAGATTAACTAATGACTTCTTGTTAAATATCCTACATTTTTTTCTTGGCAGGATAATTAATGTAGTAATTAAGCACAAGGCACAAGTGCAGAATCATCAAAGTTTGCAGGTAATTTTCACTTGTCTCCGTCCTCCCCTTTATTGTCGCGTTTGTTACAAATGCAGCTCTTTGAGGAAGCATTAAGTTTTGTCTTTGGTCAGTGGAGGAAGAGGCAGGACATCAACAGTGTGTCTTTGAGAGCTGATCTGCAAAGAGTCTGACTGTAAATACTAACAGTAATAATAGTTCGTAGGACCAAAAAGTCTCTTAGTCATGGGATGCTCTACTTACTTGGGCACAGACATGATGTGTGAGAGAATTATAGATCACCTAAGTCATACTAATTCATCCTGAGGGATGCAAAAATATCTGAGACATATTTCATGGCAATTTATTCACGAATTGATGAGATACTTTACCTGGAAGTCTGAAAGGTCAACTTGGTGGTGACACATGTGAAAAAGTCAGGGGATTACCTGATGATGTTGGGGTTATTTTCTCTGGACTCCCAGCTTCTAATCATTGGAGCTTTGATGATAAAGACAAATTATGATGGTTCCTTGATATCTTTGGCTCAACAGTAAATTGACTATTGTAGAATATATGAAATGTTAGAATAGGAAGAAGAGACTGACTCTCTCTGTTTTCTCAAGCAATAAGACATATTGTAAAAAGAGTAGTTACTTTGCAGAGAGTACAGCCTTGAAGCAAGAGAAACAGAACCCATTTAGACGAGAGAAAGCGAAACGCTGCAACGTGAAGACAAAGGAAATGCAGAAATGGAGGAATATCTCCAGGTTGTTCAGCTTAAAATGACGACTCTCTAGGGTAAAAGAGAATAAGAAATTAGGTCCAAAACCAGGACCTAATTTCTTATTCTGACCTATATACTTCATGAATGCAAAAAGGTTTAAAATGAAAAGCTATTCTTAGGTAAAAACATCACATTTGTATAGCTGTAAATAGAACAGAATGGTAAAAGCCAGTATGAATCATGATGAGAGATGAGTCTCTGTGATTCGGCGTACTGATAATTTAATGGACTTTGTACATTTTAATGTGCCTTTGATGAAGTCCTATCTGTGCAAAGCATTTTTAGCTACATTCACTGATGTCCTGTGTAATTATGAAGTTGAGACTGCTGACTTTATGCGGTGTTGCGATGAGAAATGAGCTTGTGATGAAGACCTTGCCTGGAGCTCCTTTGTGGATTTATGTCCTCTCTCATAATCAAAACACCCCTCTGCATACTGTTGGACAAGGTAAAAGAGGGGGCATGAGAGATGGGGAGGAGGTACGGACTAACACGCTAGATGTTAATAATCAGTTGTTACAGCACATAGTTAAACCTTGAATCAACTTCAGGAGATCTGCCAACAGGACTGAATCAAGCTCAGGTCCTCTGGGTCTCTTTGAGGTGTCACGGTGACAGAACAGAGTATTTTCTTAAGCTTAACTCTGCGTCCCTGTCCAATAAAACTGTCTTAAATATCTGATTTCAGATTCCTGGCACAGACCTGTAAAAGCAGATCAATTTTTTTTCTTTTGTATAATTCACACTTTTACTTCTCCAATACATGCAAGCAGCCCTAATATGACAAACTGGCTGCATACTGTCCTCCTATACCGGACTAGTCTCTCTATAAATGAGGGGACATCTCCTTTCTGTTCCAGAGGACCCCACACTCCTCAACAGAACCCAGTGACCCTTGATCATCTTAAAGTTATCACTTCATGTATGAATAGCTCCCCATAGGACACACCACCCTGCAGTCCCACAGATAATTCCACTCGCCTCAGTGACATTTTGGGAGTTGTGAACCTAAGTTCGCTCTCTGTGAAAAGTTCACTCTCCTCTGTTAGAATAAAAATGAAAGGGAAAAAAGCATTGACCCGCAGTGATCTGAGTTTGAAGTGGTAAAAGGAAATCGTTTTGTAACTTTGAAATATTTAAGCAGTGATAGCCCTCAAACTACCCATTAGAGATGATTTCCTTTTGAATTCACATTATGTAAAGAGCTTGATTTAAATAAAACTTCATTAAAAAGCAGCTTTTATTCATGACCAGCTATAATGTTGTGTCAAGGGAGGGTTTGCCTGGAGTTTTGCAGATTCCCTCATTTTATGTATCTGATCCTACACAGCACAGCTGTGTGCTTATTTATCTCTTGCAGAATAAAACTCTTGTTTTATTATGCCCCTCGCTGAGTTAAGCCACCTTGAGAACAGCACCCTCTGGTGACAGGCAGCAGTATAGGTCATAAATCCCACCTCCTCCAGCAATCCCTATGGAGCTGTGGACAAACTTTAGAAATTTATTACACAGAATATAAATGTTTCTCCCCCCTGGTTGTGATGTTGACATGTAGTTACTGTCAGACTGGTTTGTGCTCAAGTCCTCTTTTTTTTTCTGTGCAGCTCCGTATGTAAAAGTTATTAGGGGGTTCATGTTTTCTATGATACACTTATACAGCCTATGGACATAGGAAGATTGCGGGCGTAGCTTACCCAGGGAAAACGCTGTTTGAGCAGAACGTCATCACAGTGACTCTCCTGCCAAATGTGTACAACTCTACTGCACAAGTGGTGAATCTAGGAAGTGAAGAAAATCCCAGAAATACGGAGAGCAATTCAGCTTCAAATTTATAAACTGATGAAGGCGGATTCAAGTTGTCCATAGTTTATACAGTCTGTGGTCTTGAGCTTCAAAGTCAATTTCTCAGTTTTGTTTTCCGGTGTCTTTGGTGTCAGTGTATCTAATCTGTCCAAAGTAAGTTAAGGCAAATGCTGCTTTCACACCACAGCTCCGATACCTTTTACCGCACAGAGCCAGCAGTGAACAGGTTTGTCTATTGCATTTACACTTAAGTGTCATGGCAAACAGTTAACTAAACACAAGCTAGTCAGCCAAAATGGTGTGAGTGCACAGCTGCTGGCCGTAATATGACCAAGTGAGTGAGTAATGTAAAAAACCTAACAAGAATAAACCCTGTACAGCTGGGCCACATTAAAGAAGAAAGGAAAATACATTAGTATGTCAAGAATAAGGTAAAGTTGAAGTATTACCAGTGTTTACTTGACGTGGCCGTTATCCTCTGTCATTCTTGTTGTTTAATTATACCACACTCTAGTTGTGTTTTTCACTTGTAAAAATTAGCCGTTTTTTTATGGACCTTGCGTTCCTTTGGCCTTTGGAACCAGCCTCAAATGGGCACCTCAGGAACTGCTGATTTTTTTGGCCTACGTTCACTAAGCCTTTTAACTGAGGCCGTTATTGTGAGCACACACAATCTGTAAACACAAGCAGGACGCAGATCTTATCCAAAACCCCGGCGAGTTAAGGAACATCTCCTCTTGTACATGGGCTGTTAGGGCCAGCATTGCCCTGAGTTTATTCAGCTTAACAGGCAGACACAGACAGTAAACCAGCAAACTGCTTTAGGGATCATGAGGGTTATCATGTATAATTTACTGTCAAGCTATGTGTCAACAAACGCTCCTGCATGCATTTAGAATCCATAACCCCCCTTTTTATCTCCTCCTTAAGCATTTGTGATTGCATGTCATCTTTCATATCATTAGACATGCTTTCTGTGTTGGTAATCACACAAAATGATATAATAATGCTTAACTGTGACAGTGAGAACATGAATGCTCAAGTTTGAATTTGGCAATATTAAATGGTACAATAGCAGAAGACTGAGTGTAATTGGTGCCAATATAACATGACTAGTTCAGGGTAAAATCTCATTATAAGAGCAAAGAATGCAGGATAAGCACTTTACTCCTGAAAGAAACAAAAAAGGTTAAACTATCAAAGTTAAAGAAATGTCACTCCTCATGTGTGGCCTTGTTTAAATGTAGTTACATTTGCTTCACAGTCACTAAAACTGAAGTCCTATTCCCATCAGTACAGGCTAAACCCAGAAACTCCCAAAGTCCTGCTGTAGTGCCATTGTAGTAGTGCCCTGCTGTAAATTTTGACAGAGGTCAAGTTAGCCACTCCTTGGTTTTTCAGAGTTAATCTCAGCCACTCTTGAATTTTAAGTGTGCATGTATTAAGATAATTATGGTAAATGCTCGGTAGAAGTCAGAGTGAGTGGTTTTGTTATAATTCCCATTGGCACCTTAGAGTGTGTAAAGACATGCTTTGTAACGCTAACCCTGATGTTTTAACTCCCTTTGACAAAATTAGATCTTA